AAAATTGTGATAGGGCAGCAAAGCATACTTACGTCTCCACCCTTACTGCATCTGCAGTTAGCTACCTATTGGCCCTGTTTCAGGTAATCAGGTCCCTTCTGGGTAAGGAGAAGCTGGGGGAGCCCTTGCAAGACTGCTGTGAATTGCTTGACTTCACTCAGGATTGGACTCTGATTGGGAAGATCCTTTGGAAATAATCAACACACATCTGAGTCCTCTAATTTGGCAGGAGCTTGAGCCGGTTGATCCTAAGGAAGTGAACAGGGTTTCCATGGTTGTGAGCTCAGCTAACAGGCCCCTTTTGGCTGATTAAGATGTCCTCAAAGGTGGCATATGTTTGGCTCCAAATGGTGGTTAATACATGTGGGAGGGACTGGCACAACCTGCCTTGAAGGAGGCACAGAGGCGCCCCATCCTTGGACCAATCATATTAGACATTTTTCCTCCAGATGTTTTTGGGGAAGGTGGTTGGCACTCAGCTTCAGAAGTGAATTATATGGACCTTTTCAGTCTGAATTTAGGCTGGAAAAGACCTTGGTTGCAATTGCTATTGACTTTTGATGGGCTTGGGACAAGGGTGATGCAACCATCCTGGTTCTCCTAGACCTGCCAGCAGCTTTCAATACCATTGACAATGGTATCTTTCTGGATTGGCCTTGGGGTTTCGGAGCAGGAGCCACTATTTTGTGATTGCCAGGGATGAGTCAAAATTGGTTCCAGACCATCCAGGTCCTCACAATCTCCAAATAGTCAGCACTGCAACAGCATTGTCTCTGTGGCCTGGGGTGATATATCATCAACCTCCCAGGATTTTGGTGATAGGTCGTTTGACTCCACACAGGGTTGCACTCCCCAAACTGAGCTTGCGTGTAATTTGAGGTTCTTGTGGACTCTCTACTCCTACTTATGGAGCAGGTGGGATCAGCAATATCTAGGTCAATTATTGTTGTTCCAACAATTGTGAACTTTTCTGAACTAGGAGGCTGTGCTTAAGGTCAATTCCCTTTTGGAATACCACAGTATACTACACTGTACATGGGGCTGTCCTTAAGCACCACCAAAAAGCTACAACTGGTTCAGGATGCTACTTATCACCTCTAAAGCCTTACATGTCATGAGAATATGTAGTGCTCTCTGAACTTAGTTGTTTTCTTGCAAACATCTCATTACTCAGCTAAGTAACAGCATTACTGCATATGGTACCCAAGGATTCCACAGTTCAACCCTAAGCTACAAATATTCTCTTTATCAATGGAATTGTTCTCCCATCTGCCTTTTGCACCCAACTGATGGGGTAGCTATGCTCAGGTCTTTTCTCTGAAACGTTGCTATCTGATGTCTTTTTTATGGTTGCCCTCTCTTGTGGAACATCTTCCCTCTGTGATCTGGCAGCCATCCACTCTTTTAGCCTTCCAGAAGGCCATCAACACCTTGCTGCGGGTTCAGGTGCTGGGGCAGTGATGGACTCTGCAGATGGTTATAGGTTCATCCAGACTTCAAGAGGACTTTTCAGGCACAGAATTTTATGGTTTTAATGTTTTTGTAGTTTTGTTGTGAGTCACCCAGAATTATATTCTGATAGGAGCCATATAATTTTTTTACATAATTATAAATACTCCCAAAAATACAGATCCAGGTAATTTGGTTCCATGAAACACTTGCATATATTTAAACCTGCAATCATATAAGTTAATTAAATACCCATCAGTAATGAAGCATTGACATATACAGTAGGAATAATCTCTGTGAACATATTTATACCAGTTCTTAATTGTTCAAATAGCACAACTATTATCTACTTGTACAACAGAGAAGAAACAATTTAAAACTCCATTATAGGAGATTTACTTGCTGAAGTCTGGATGAACTCTTGGTTCTGTTTACATTCACAAATGCTTAAAGTTAGGACTTCTATGCTTGACAATATCATACTAATCAAGCAGCAGCTGCATTATAACATACCTCTATTCTGAAATAATGCTATTGAGTTGTAAGAAAGCTCAGACAGTATAAGCAGTTGAGGATTATATGAGAATGTAATTATATCCACTTATTTAGATATAGTATTCCATTCAGCAATAGAAATAATGTCAGAAGATCCAATCTTATCCATTTTAATGTTAACTAAATTTGAAATCTGATGATTCATAGCCTAAACATGACATCTCTAGCTCCTGAAAGCAGAATATAAATCTAACAAAAAGTGATGCATCTGTTAAAAATGTAGGTTTTGATAATTTTGTATTTTTCATAGTATATCTTAAATTCATCTTAGGTTATTTATGTTCTTACTTTCAGTTACAAGAAGATTTGCTAATCTATCACACATTACCAAAAGTAAACATTACTATTTTTCAGGTAAGAACTAAGCTATCAACCTCACTTCTCAGTTTAACTTTAGCATACTATCTTGGAAAGCTGTACGGAAAAATATATAAACACGTGGGCTTATTAGTCTATTATATAAAAGCAAATAAAGTTCATGGAAGGTATGTTTTTAAAAACAATCAGAATTTATTACTATCTCATTGCCACCAAAATGTTTACAATGTCCTGAGTTGAGCGTGACCTCTGATGATTACATGGACATATCAACTGTGTTATACTGTGTATGTAGACAGATAGACAAAAGTATTAAAGTGGTTTGCACCTGTCATCTTCTAGAATGCTTTTCAACTTCCTAGTAAATCCTACTAGATTGCTTTGATTGCTACAGCTACATCCTGGTAAGAACGTGATTTAAAGGATAACCTAGCTAACTTGGACTAATGTCAAAAAAGCTAAACTGGATCAGGTCTTATATTTGGATGGGATACCATCAAGAATGTCCAGGGCCTAGAAATTAAGGGGGGAAATATTCAGAAGCAGTTGCAACCCCCTTCAAAAATATTGCCAAGATTTCAGATGCACTCTGTTCAGATTGTTATAAAGTTCATTCACACACTTCAATTGTCATCCACACCAGCAACTGAAACATTCTAACGAATAAGCATCTCTTCTATGTAGAGCTGTGAATGGGATATATTAACAAAGAATACAATGTAGCATTGTGTACCTGTGCACAAAAATATTCCAGAAATTGTTCCAAGCTCTAAGATTAACTGTACAAATTAATCAAAGCCTAGAATGTACTGCTGGTCTTGTGCAATGACATCATTGCATTTGTGCTCTGTTTACATTGTTAGAAGTAGACATACACCAAATGTTTTGATTTGAAATGTCTGAACCACAAAATTTCAAAAAAATGTCTTGCATCAAATGTGAAACTGACACTGAATATTTTGGAAGTACTCTGAGCTCATGACAGAGATTACTGAGTTTGAAACACTTCCCCAAATGCTGAAAACCACAGGATGTTTGTAAATGGTATACTTTCAAGAAGGGATAGGTAATTGCTTCAATGTGACCTAGAAGAGGTGCTTGGAAATATACTAGAGACCAAATGCAGTACCTGTTCAACTGGGGAGAGGCTGTAATATTACCAGTTAACATAAACAGAACATGGAAAGATTTCCCCAAACAATCTTCTCATTTTCACATGTTCTGAAGCACACTACTTTCAAGACAGCTATAATAGATGCTATTAAACTAGAGCAGGCATGTCAAACTCATGACGTCACATGATGTCGCGTGACATATCACAACTGGCAATGGGGTGGGCGCGGCTTCAGTATGATGCATCCAGCTCGTGGGCCGGCAGTTAGACATGCCTGAACTAGAGTGACTTTCAAAGAGGAGAAAAAAGTGATTGGTATCAACCTTGAAAGTAAACACATCTGCTTCTAGCATCTATCATGATGGCTTGTAGGCTTCTTAGTTGGCTAGTCTCACTGTCAAGAGAACAGATGTGAACTCCATCTCTTCTCTACAACCCCACTCAGTTGTCATCTACAATTGTCAGGCAAGATGCTATTAGGCATGGCTATGCAAACAAACAAACAAAAAAAGGTTATAGATTTGCCTGAAAAAAAATCACCTTTTTGGTATGTGATGCTATCCCTCTTCCTAGTGTGAGGAAGCATTCCTTATTTTTGTTACAGTGTATTTTATAGGGATAAATTTGCCTAACAGAAGGTAAGCTATCATTGACTTTTTTTGCGGGAGCGGGGAGGGCAATGAGAAGTTTTGTTTTTGGATGCACAACTATATACAATTATATTATATACCGCATTTATATTTCAGGCTCTTCTTCATGCAGTCAGAATGCTGAACTGCCAACATTCATATTAACCAAGGATTCCATCCAACATCTTTTGACAGCCAAAACCAAGTTAGAGAAGATTCCAAGACCAAAAACAGTGAGTAGTGAAAAGCTAATGAAAACATTAAACAAGTTACGCAGTTAAGAAAGCAACAAGTACATTAATTTGAATGCTATTTTTAAAGAGCTTCACTATGAAAAAATAGCAACTGTTATTCTTGCATGTGTATACACCTCAGATATGCAGTGGGTTTTCCTCTGCTTTGCTTCCCCAAATTATTCTGCTCCAAAAAATAGCCATTCCCAAATCTTTGAAACATTAGCTATTCAGAGTGCAAAACATAAAAATAACAAACGTTGTCTTTCCAGGTACCTTCAGGATGGAGAAACAGAGCAGTAGATGGTCTATTGCCAGATCTTACCCAAACCTCTCATTCTACTCTTCCTGTGCAACAAGAGCAAAACCCATCTCAAAAATAAACTGGAACTATTTACATTTGTCGTTAACTAAAACTGACCGTATTTCCTTCAAAGCTTTGAGTAATAATATCAGAATAAAAGATTTTGGCTTCATCATGCCATACTCAGCTTTCATTGTTGTTCTTTTGAAAGTTACCTATTGTCATTGTATACAATGCACAAGCATTGTATAAAGCTGTAGACTGATATTTCTTAAACAAATCTCTTGGGTCCCCTAAATAATCAATGCTTTATAAAAACATGTAGCATTGTTACATGCTGTCAATGTAATGTTTTATTACGTTGTTATGCTATAAATAACTTACTTGGACAAAAAAAGCATTTTAATAAATGATTTATTATTTTGGTATTACGATTGTAAATAATTTGCATTTTTTTCAGTGACAACACCACATATGCAGTACATAGTATCTATAACATTCAATTCCCTATGCAGTATATTTGCATATGAGAGTTCTAAGAACAATCCAGATAAAGAATGAAAGTCACAATTTACTATTTAAGGAATTAAGGGCCACGTGATCATTTATTCCATACAGACAATTGCTTAAAAAACAAACAATATGCTGAATTTCAAACAACCAGCAAAGAAGTGATAAAAATCTATTTTTACTAATTCATATGTAATGGCATTATACTGAAAACAAAGTTTTATCTATCTAAATCTAGGTGGTAAAGAATTGAAATATGTGAATAATAGGGAAGCCCCTTAATGTGTTTGCTATAGTCTGGTAGATTACAGATGAAGCTGGCTTAGGAAATCAAATCTGCCATGGCATGAAATTGTTAGAAATGCCCTAGTAACTAAACATATAGCTTTATGCCACCCAAATAGAAAATATAATTTCCTGAAAGGTAGTACTAACACCTGAATTTTCTAAAATCATTGGAAAAGAGCAACTGCTGACACTAAGGGGCAGATATATTGATTAAAGTTTCTTTTCCTGACTTGAGGCCAACATTAAGAAAACTTAAGGCACTTGAAGGAGGGTTCACTGTATTTAGGAATACATGTTTTAATATCTTTGACAAGTATTCTTGGCTCAGTAACAAAATCATCTCACATTTTGATTTTGAAAGTGCATATTGCACTGTCAGTTTTGAAACATTTTTCCCTTTAAATTTACAAAATAAATATTAACAGTCATTCAAGAATAAGCATGGAAGCAAAAAGTAAAAAGCTTGTTAGTCTTTTTAGTCCGAAGAATGTTTATCTAATATTAACTGCATTTTAAAGCTATCATTCTTTAGTATTTCATTAACGTTATGTTAAATTTGACAATCTTTTCAGCTTCTTATCTTAAATTTATAAAGACCATGGGGAGCTGGGTAAAAATGACTACCATAAGGCCATTAAATACACACCACCTAATTTGGAAATATCTGAATGGAATAGTCAGTTCCACTGCTTTACTCACCTGAGCTATTGTCTTTTAAGAGTACAATTGTCGGAAGAGTCTTTAAAATTACAGTACTCTCTACTAAATATACATTACAAATTGACTTTCTAGCTAATATTGAAGTAAACTTTAGTCAAATTAGAAGGATTAAGGAAATTAGAATGATGTTAACATTTTTAACCATGAATCTACAGAGTCAATTTTGTCACCAGCTTAATACTAAGCACTGCAGTTCCTTTTTGACTGGAGCTCATCCAGCAGAAACACTTAATCCTATAAACTGAGTTTTGATTATTTCAGTTATATTTATCACAATTGCAATATGACTTGCAAAACAAACATTAAGTAATTAAGAGAATAATCAAAATAACTTAGTTCAAGCATTCAACTTTGTTTCTATCACAATTGTTCTATCACATAATTCACTGTATTAAGAAACCTACAGGTGGGATATTGCTATGTGGGAATAAAATATTCCCATATCTATGCAGGACTACAGTACCTTTAAAATATCCATAATGTTGCGAGCACAAACTGTGTTTGCTAAAATTATCTTCATATGAAAAACACAGCATTTTCTAAGGCAGGTAATTTGAAGGCTACAGACAAATGGCTTTAGGAACAGTAAAACAAAGCCTGGATACAGCAGATTGAATCCATATTTGCCACATTTAACAGGCTCACAAAAATCAGCTGGATAAATTCATCACAGATAGTTTACCCAATCTATTTTCCTCAATGGATCCGATTCCTCAAAAATATAGATCCAATACATTGTTATTAACACATATGAAAACAGTTAACGATGTTAACATATAGTGCTGAGGTTCATATGTCTAATGGAGAAAACTTGGTGCAAATGGAATGACATTCTTCACTGAACCTCAAAATATAAGATGGCACAACACTTCAATTTGCAATCTGCTAATTAAGGCACTAGTCCTTCTTCCTTATGCACCAGGGAACTTGTATCTTTTGATCATCATTCTTCCTATAGATGCTTACATTTATATTAGAAAACAATCATCCTTGTAACATCATATAATATGGAAAAATATGGGCATTCATATTTCTTAAGAAAAAAATATCCTAAAAACATCCTACAAATCTCTTCCAATTTCCAAGCTGAACAAGATAAAAAGTCATAGTTTTCACAGATAATTTTTATGTCAAGTTAACAGTAATCTGTTTTAATAATGATGCAGGGGGATATTGTATCTAAACCTAATTAAATCACTGTAATTGTAAAAATTATCTATTAGGAACATTGCTGCCACTAAATACAATAACTATTAACAGCTACATTTGGCATATCAAATAAAAGAATAGATTCTATAGCAGCAGCTAAAGAAATTTAAAACAGCAAATAAGAGTTCATGCAGAATATTGCAAATATTTCTGTTCAGCAAGACATGATTCACACAACCTTATTCCAAGCATGTTGCAGACCTATTTTTTTAAGTCTTGAAAAATAATATCTTGAACTGCTGTATTCCATAAAGAATAAGCATCTTTTGGTGTAGCTAACCATAAATATTGAGCTATTCTAAGTCCACTTAAAAAAAGCAACATTTCCTAGAGAGTATGATAGTTTTGTTCTTTGGACTTGCAAAATTTATACAGAAAGAAGATTACTGCTTGCAGACCCAGCACAAGTACAATACCACCAATGAAACTGGCTGCATCAAAACTTGCTTTGTGATGTGATGGCTTGGCCGTTGGTATGAGAGATGTGGCTGTCAAATAAGAAGATAATAATTAGTGATTTGCTCCTGAATTATATTTTCTATGTCTTATTTTCTATCACCTAAAAATCAGTTCTACAGTTTTCTCTCTATGAAACAGAATTTGGTTACATTCTTGGATGGAAGAAAAGTTACAAATTAATCCTTTTCCAGATTAGATGCTACAAGCAGGCGAGGTCAATTGCTGTTTAAATCTGTTCAGATTATTTACATCCGTGTGAGGATGCTATAGAGTCCAGTGTGGATATACAGTATTTCTCTTGGAATCATTAAAGCTAAGCATAACTAAGCACACAGCTTATAAAGCAACTGAAATAAGGTACTGCTGCTTTACGATTCAGATATTTTGTACACGGTCCCTTACTGCCCTGGAAGGAAACATTATTACCCAATTTGACTCTGTTGTTTTCCAATGTCTGAAAACGGACATTAAAAAAATAAAATGTACTATTTTATTTCATTCACAGTTAAGTTGCCTTTTGCTTTTTCTTATTCACACAAGAACTGCTTTACTAGTAACTTCCCTGAAGACAATGGAATTCATTATGAATGTCTGTTAAACGAAATTTTACCTGTTTTAGTAGTAATAATAGAAGTAGTGGCAATTGTTGTACTATTCACAACAGGTGTTCTTGTCGATGAAGTTGAGTTAATTGTACTAGCTGTGATAAAGAAACAGTTTATATCACTTTATTTGCCTTGAAACATGAATGTACATGTATAAATTATAGAATCCTACTTGTGTTTCAAATTACTGAACATAAGACCACATATTTTAGCTGTTTTTTTTCCTACATTTTAAAGGACTATGAAAATTATAAAAAAAAATCTAATGAATGATATACTGAGCACAATTTAAGAATCAAATATAAAAGAGGGCAATATCATAAATGGAAACCCACAAAAAATATTGATCTTCAACTGGAGACTGCCAAGAACAAGAATGTAAAACGAGACCCTTGCATTGTTAGTGAGACTAGTGGAGGAAAGAGATCAGGAAAAGGAGCGTACAGCCTGTACATTTGTTATTACATATTTAGGCGGTGAGGATTTTGAAGAAGAAAATAAATATGTCTTTTTGCATTTTCTTGATCAAGTAGATGAATATCATCTCATGAGTTATTTCTACAACTATTATACATTTCAGCACAACTAGATCTCTTTGTTGCTGTGCAAATTAATTGGGTTGAAACTCCAATATTCAATATTATCACTGTGTAGTTTCAACTAGGGGGAATTTCTAAAAGTAGTTAAGTAACAATATTGTAAATGCAGGTACATTTAAAATTTTACCAGTTATACAAGAAATTACTCATGAAAAGAGAATGGAAATATAGAAACTGAAATTTTTGTAGAGAAGAAATACTAAGAAATACCAATTTATGAATTGCTGTACATTTATAATGTTTTACTGTTAGTTACTTGAACAATACTAACACATACTCTCAAAGCATATTTTACTTGATCTATAGATTTATCAAATTACTGATATAACTGAACACAATTCCTCTAGAGCACAAGAATCACATAAGCACGTAAGTAAAAAAACTTACATGTCTCTTCAAATACTTATTTTACTACAGATTCACTACTGGATCACATTAAGTTAAAACAGTATGTCTACATCAATGCACATTTTTTTCTTTTTGTTACCTGTAGGGCTGGTGACTGTGGTGGCATTACTAGCTGTGGTGACATTACTAGCTGTGGTAGTACTGATCGGCAAATCTAAAAAACAAAACAACTATGAAGCATAAAACTGATTTTTAAGAAAACCAGAGAGACTTAGTAATAGTTGCGATATATAGGCTGAGAATTCTTCTAGGGTTCTTACACGCAAATAAATCTTTGGCTGAGTAACTTGTAATTAAATGATACAATATCTGAGGTACCAACCTCCCTTCAGACGCTTTCCTTATAGTCTACTAGGCTCCTTGACTCATTTGACATTTTTAAAAGATCTTTAAATAAGATAAATTGGAATCTAGTATACAGCGTTTGGCCTGGCATATTTAAAAGAAATATCATGCAAAGTTAATAACTGCAGCACTAATTCTATCTTGCATGCCTTTGTTACTTGCTATTGCTCATCTCCATATTGAAATCTAAAGGTTAAAAATAAGTTTTTAGATGAATAGCATGAGTTAAATCAAGTTTGTGTATACAGTACAAAGAACTGAGGGCATGAAAGAGATTTAAAACAAGATGGGATCTATGACCTCAGCAAGTATTGAAGAGAGAGAGAACAAAGAACAATTAAGGCAAGAAAGATTATAAAATGGGGTAAAATCCACTTAACAAATGACTCACTTAGCAACAGAAATTTTGGGCTCAACTGTGGTCCTAACTCAAGGACTATCTATACAGAATCTTTCATCTTGTGAACTCATGGAAACACCTAAACAATGTTCAAGCTTTAGAAACAAACCTAAAAAAGTTTATCAGCCTGCTAAATATTATTGTTCCATTTATGTTTCAAGAGTAAAACCAGTAACTTACATTTTCATTCAACAAGAAGTCTACTCTATAGTAAATATGGAAATGAAGCTTACTAACATTTAACAGACTGTTAAAACAGAGGAAAAAGTTGCAAGGTCGCATCAGAAAGATCCAAACTGTATCATATTTTGAAAGCACTGCAGAGTTCATCCTTTTTTAAAATAGGGTTCTCAATAGATATTTGTATTCCATAAACAATAGGGAAAATAAAGAAACACAGAAAAAGTAAAATACAAGATTTATCAGCATGTTCTCTCCTTTTGCCATGGAGAATTTAAAGAAACAAGAATATCTTCAGTTGTCATCTGGCAGCAAAAGATTAGGTGCTGACTAAATATAATCAATATGTTTGTGGTGTTTATTATACTGAATAAAGTTTTCAGGAAGCTTTCCTTTCAGGTTGTTTGGCCTTTAAATAATTATTCTCTTTATCATCATATATGCATACTCACCTGCACATGTCCCATTTTCAGAAACAGCAGTACAATCAGGATCCATACTTGTGGAATTTGTACACCGAGACGACTTTCCTTGTAGAGAAAAAAAATCCAGGTTTTAATGAATGAAACTTTAAAGCATTTGGCTACCATTTTTACTATAAACATTGCTTTACAATGCCCTTAAAAAAACTCAGTGAAGTTCTGATTTAATAAAATATTTAGGGAGAGTCTGTTATTCCACAATGTCTGTTAAATTGCAAATTATATTTGCAGCAGTTTGTCAAACTGCATAAAACCACAAATAACATATTTTACACATTATTTATATTATGTTGCATTTACACACTGTAAAATGAGTTCAAATGAAATAAAATTAGCATACATTTAATTGCCTCAGATTTGTCAGATTAAATGGATTTTGTCCATTTTTGGGAGGGGGCAGGGAAGATTTGGAGGCAAATATTTTATCCACTGAATCTGAATTCCATTAAAAAGGGGACAGTTAATGCAAAGTTTCACTATACACAATGTTATCTATTCGGCTACTATTTGTGACATTTTGATTTCTTTTTCACTATTATTTCATATAGGCTACATTTAAAAGATAACAGATATATAATAAACAGAATGGAAGAGTGCTAGGGAACTGACAATATTCATCCTCACGCTTTACTGAATTATTAAAAAGCTCCTTCCAAAAAGATTTAATCTGGTTTATAAATTAACAATATACTGTTTCAATATAACAGCATTATAAACATAAAAATACATGTAGGAAATCTTATAAAACATGTAGAAATTTACAGTAAAAAAAATTGGTTCAATGTGTAAAAGAAAACCCCCCACTCATCTCTTAGCCTTTTTCACCTTTAATTTTATTAGGTTCTATGTGTAGAAATAAGGGGAGAAGGGAAGGATTCTTAAACATTGCCAGGTTATAATCTGAAACAATTCCAATGTTTCCTCATTAGTAGTTTTTACTGCAAATTCTTCCAACTTTTCATTATTCCAATGCATCCTTGCTATTTTCTTTTCAATGCAATCTCTTTCTATGCTTTCATTAGGTTGCAATTTATGAATACTGTGCCATTTTAGCAACCATATATTTGCATCAGTACGTGCACAAATGTCCTAGATCAGACATGTCAAACCTGCGACATCACGCAACATATCGGGACAGTTTTGCCATTGTCGGCAATGGGGTAGGCGCGATTCTGGATGACGCATCCGGCCCATGGGCCGGCAGTTTGACACCCCTGTTCTAGATGGTAGATTAAAGCAACAGTATACTAGCGAATAATCAGAACACAACAGGAAGTAATTTAAAATAAATATAATAAGGTATTTTGACCATATAGAGAAAATGAATAAGCGGACTGCAGAACCATATGAATGGTGTTATGAAAGGCTCAAAAGATAAATTTATCATATTATGAATGCTGATAATAAGGATAGGAAGATATGGAGAGTTGTAGTTAATCCTTACTGACAACTTTGTGTCATCCTGTTTTTTGTATAAAAATTGGAGCGTCTTAGTTTTTCATTATCTCAACTTTGCATATTTGTCTACAAACATGCAAGTGATGTTGAGGCAGCAGATTAAAAATATTGACCTCTCATTAGATGTAGCATTTTTCCCAATGACATAGTCTTCACCAGCTCATTTATCCTTAGATGTGTTATATACCTCAAACAAATTACAATCCCTAAATATAGGAGAACATTTTATTTGGCTTGATATACGGTACATCCTTCCTACTAGCCCTGGGAGATATGCAAATATCCCAGTTGGGCTAAAGTTTAGCCCACACTGCAAAGGGGCTATTGAGACACATATTACATTGCCCATTTTACATTCAGATTTGATAATCTCACATTTAAATACATTTCCTGTTCATTCTGATCTATCACACAACTTCCACTTTCAGATATTCATGAATGTTACTCTAAAAGCAGCTAAATTCTGATTTTGCAGCTGCTGATTTATTTGACTAGTTAGTTTAATTTTTTATATAGATGTAAACTGTTTTATATTACAGTATTGAGTTTTATTATGTGCTGGTCTTTAGCCACAATAAACATATTTGATTTTCCCTGTAAAAAAAGAACACCCACAAATCCTGGCCTTAATTTTTCTTTATTTCTTTCCCCTTCTTTGTACTTTCTATAATGTTGCTTAGCCCCCCCCCCCAAAAAACCGTTATAAATTATAAATTCAGAAAAACAAATGTAGTAAATCAGAAAGAAGTATTATAGTTCAACATAATTCAATTTACCACTGCATTGAAGCCATGTGCAATTCAGCTGAGTTGATTCAATAGAAATGCAGGAACTACAATTTGTATGTCTTTCACAGCCAACTAGAATACAAAATAAATTGTAAAAAAATAAGCCAGTTAACAATAGGTAGAAATGTAAAAAATAACAGTTTAAACTTAAAGGCTATGATACATTACATCATTGATGACTAAAGATACTTTGCATGATAGAAACTTTATATGTGAACCAAAATTCAGAAATACTTGTGATAGTTTTCATTTTTAAATGGAAAATTAACAGAGAAAAGGGGAGGAAGGGGTAGACAAAGCATTGCACACTATGAATTATTCATATTTAGAATTTGGTTCTTCAGCAGCTACTTTTCTTAGCTATTCTTGTCTCACAAAGTATTAGGTTAACCTATTGCAATATTATTTTCATGCCAAATTTATGTGTCTATATGCCTTAAAGCTCTTCTCTCCAATTTCCTTCACTCTAAAAATGGATTTAGTTTTAGCAACAATAGCACTTAGACTTATATACCGCTTCATAGTGCTTTATAGCGCTTTCTAGGTGGTTTACATCAGGGCTTTTCAACCTTTTCACCCATTGTACCACTTTTAGGATATGGCAACATCTGAGTACTACCAGCAAGGTGTCAAAAACTTGATGTCCAAAAAAAAAAGGAAAAGTAATAAAGTACAGGTAGTCCTTGATTTACAACAGTTCGCTTAGTGACTGTTCGAAATTACAATGGCACTGAAAAAAGTTCCCCCCAAGCCACAACCAAGGAAGACACTTGCCTGCCCACCCGGAGGCACTCTTCCTCCTGTCCGAGGTTTTCATTATTGTGAGCATTTCTGTTGAGGATTGGCAGCAGGGGTGGGATGGGGGGTGTTTGGTTTTTATTCCTCCCTCTCTGCTGGGTGGTTGCAGCAGGTTTTGGTCACTTCACATGATCCTGGGACACTGTGACCGTCATAAATATGAATCAGTTGCAAAGTATCTGAATGTAAATCATAAAACCCCGGAGATGCTGCAACATTCCAGCTGACTGTGCTTCTTCAGGGCTCAGCAGAAGCACCAGGATCAGCACCGAGCTCCAGCTGGAGCCTGGCACTGATCCTGGTGCTTCCACTGAGCCCTGACAGCCCTGAAGTGCCGATCAGCTGGAAAGTGGCACTGATCCTGGCGCTTCCGCTGAGCCCTGACAGCCCTGCAGTTCCAGCCATCTCTTGCTCAGGCTTGTGCGGTGCTGCCACCGGTTCAGCTCATTGCCTTCCCCTGCTACTTTTCTAGGATTGTCACATACCACTTGCCAGGTGCCAATATACCACAGGTGGTATCCATATCACTGGTTGAAAAGCCCTGGTTTACACAGTCAGCATATTGCCCCGCAAAATCTGGGTCCTCATTTTACTTTTGAAGGATTGAAGACTGAGTCAACCTTGAGCCTGTCAGGATCAAACTCCTGGTCGTGGGTACCAGAATCAGCCTGCAATACTGTATTCTAACCACTGCACCACCATGGTTCCTTTTAATTACTAAATTCTATACACCAATGACATTAATATAAATGTTCAATTCTTTCATGTTTAACAAGACTATCCCTAATCATCACAATGAAATGTCATATTTATATTTATGGCACAAGTATTGCTTTCCCCCATTCTTAAGGATAAGATATCGATTTCAATGATCCACCCAGTGACAAATGGATTTTTCTAGATTCCTAAAAGCTCTGTCAAAGCCCTGGTTGCTTTGTGGATGTAGAGCTGTCCTGAGTGGTCAATGCAATCACTCCTAAGCACTCTCTTCTAGTCAGCGGAGCCTGAGCAGCAGCTTGGTATGTAGCTGAATTGGGAACTATAAAATAAGTAGGGCGTCCGCTAGAACAGGGGTCTGCAACCTTGAGAACTTTAAGACTTATGGATTTCAGCTCCCAGAATTCCTCAGCCAGCATAGCTGGCTGAGGAATTCTGGGAGCTGAAGTCCACAAGTCTTAAAGTTCTCAAGGTTGCAGACCTCTGCGCTAGAATACACATGTAGAGAAACCCAAGTCAAATAACATTCAATAAAGTTTAGGGCCCATTAAAAAGTCAATATGGTACAGTAAGGAGGACTTCCAAATGTTACCCAATGGAGCTTTTTTAAGTAGCGAGGGGCATATTGCAATCTGTCCCAAAGAAAGATCCAAACTTTTAGTAACACATGAGAAATCCACAAGAAACCTTGGTGGTAAATTGCTTGCATACACAATTCAACCTCTGCGCTGATGCAAATCCAGAAGTGGAAGCATCCAGAATACTATCTTGTCCCATTTTGGATGAGTTTCAGTAGTGAGGCCCAAGATAAGCATGGTATGTGTTTAATCTATCAATTGTGTATTTCAACTCTTAAAATTACAGATAGTCCTTAACTTACAACAATTCATTTAGTGATTGTTAAACAATGGCACTGAAAAAAGTGACTTATGAACTTTTTTCACTGATGACTATTGCAGCATCCCCATGGTCATGTGATAAAAATTCAGACTTTTGAGAACTGACTCACTTTTATGACTATTGTAGTATTTGGGGTTATGTGATCACCTTTTGTGATCTTTTGACAAAGTCGATAGGAAAATCAGATTCACTTAACCATGTTATGAATTTAACTGCAGTGATTTATTTAACAAATGTCATAAAACGGAGCAAAATTCACTTAACAAATGACTCACTTAGCACAAAATTTTTTGGCTCAATTGTGGTCATAAGTCAAGGGCTACCTGTACTGGCTTATTAAATTAGTAGGGGGACTGGTTAAAACAATCAATGCCTCAATGAGAGAGGGAGTAGTTCCAATCTTCTTTATTCTGTACTTCTATAATTCTATTGGTCATCTTCTTAGTAGCTTTCAATACCATTGATTATGGTATTTTCTTGAACAGGCAATCTAAGTTGGGCCATGGGGGAAGTTTTCTATGCTGATTTCACTTGTACTTGGAAAACCTTTTCCATAAGGGAGAATTGCTGTTTTTCTACTGTTCTTGCACATGGCAACTGGGCCACAGAGTCCCTTGGGTTTCATGTTATTCCCATTGTTTTTTAACATATGTAAATAAAAATGCTGAGCAGTCATCCACTGATATGGGCCAAAGTGCCCTCAACATACAGATTTCACCTAGCTCTACCTCTCCTTCTTATCTAACAAGTGAGACAATTGGCATTCTGAACCGGTGCGTGGGCAAGGTAAGCAACAGGATGAGGGCCAATAAACTGATGTTTGGTGGTAGCATGGATTACCTTTCATCAGTTTCAGGTGATTTACCACTTATCTTAATTGACAGAGATAGTCTTACAACAATATTCATATCCTGGTAACTTCCTGGTTGGATTATTGCCATGTATATTATACATGGGATTCCCTTCAAAAACATTCTGGCAATTTCAGCTCTTTAAAACAGAGCAGTTAGACTGCTCACTCAGACTAGCCGACACAGATTATTCCAGTTTTTCACCATCTATATTGGTTACTGCTCGATTTCTAAACCCTATTCAGTGTAAGCTTTTACCTTTAAAGCCCTCAAAAGCTTAGGAGCAGGTTGTCTGAAGGAGCACCTTCTTTCATACACTATGTACCTACCCAGATTTCTGTATCATCTAACAAGGCTCTCAAAGTCCCCCTACAAAGGAGTTGAAGTGGATGTCTATAAGGGAGAAAGCCTCTTCTGTAACAATCCATTATTTACAGAATGCCCTGCCCAGAGACCCAACCGATGTCCACAACAGCATTTCAGCAATAAACACCTTATTTTCCTTAATAATTTTAAAATACAGGTAATCCTTGATTTACAACAATATTGTTTAATGACCATTCAGAGTATAATGACACTGAAAAAGAGATTTATAATTGTTCTTCACACTGACAACCGTTACAGTATCCCCATGGTCATGTGGTCAAAATTGGGCATTTGGCATGTATTTATGACATTTGCAATATTCCAGGGGTCATGTGTTCACCATTTTTAACCTTCTCAGTCAGTTTCCAACAAGCAAAGTCAATGGGAGAAACCAGATTCATTTAATAATTGCATGATTCACTTAACTGCAGTGGTTCACTTAACAACTGTGGCAAAAAAGTCATAAAATGGGGCAAAACTCACTTAACAATTGCCTTGCTCAGCAATAAAACTTTGGGCTCAGTTGTAGCTGTAAGTTAAGGGATATCTGCAATTACATTTTACAGCTTTTCTATGCTTTTACTATGCATGTTGCCCATATAACTTTTGTTACTGAAAGACTTTAAAAAATCAGGTCATGTTCTTATAAAGTAATTTACCGTTACAAATATAGACAAGGAATAAGAATCTTTGCGAAACATGGTAATTTCCAAATTGCTGATAACGAGAAATAAGGTATTAACATGCTTATTGTTAAGAAGTCTATAATTCTTTAAGTTTGTAATTGTTAGAAAAACTTATTTCTCATTACTTAGAACTTACATTTATACTAAAACAAAATGTTAATACAGCATTGGCACACTGACAACTTTTATTCCTATATTTCATTGCCAAAACTTTACTTCAACATTTATGGGTCTTCCTCTTTGTTCTCCAAGTCAGCAGCCACCTTGGTACAATATATCCAAGAAACAGAAAACCGCCAGCAGAAAGACCTAGAGCAGTGATCGCAAACCTTTTAGACACCAAGTGCCCAAACTGCAACCCAAAACCCACTTATGCATCATCAGGTGCCGGGTGGGTGTGGCTATGGTGGTAAGGGCAGACTAGGTGGGACTAAAAAGTTCAATCAATTAATTCCAACTTTGCGAGATCTTTTTTTTCCCTGAGAAATTAAAATTGACTGATTGTTTGAACCTTTTTTTTTTTTTTGCACATAGCGGTGGAGGCCTAAAGCAAAAAGGTTTTATAAAACCCAGCTGAAGGCCTAGGATTGGGACGACAGCGTGCCTGCCCACAGAGAGGGCTCTGAGTGCTGCCTCTGGCACCCGTGCCATAGGTTTGCCACCACTGACCTAGTGATCCTTCAAGTACCTCTTTGAATTTTGTTTTCTTTATTAATTTATTATTTTTATTTGGTCTATTGTTAACTTTTATCTTGCCCTGCCTCTAAAATAAACTTATTTTATAGAGTTGGGATTAAATTTATCAGTTTACAGTATGATATCCAAAACCTGACAAAAAAACCTCTTTCAGATTAATCTGGACCTCTATTGTAGTCAAAAGTTATTTGTCCCTTGTTTTCCCGTCTTCTCACAGACAGAACTTCTCAACTACAAATTCCAGCTTTTTCCTCCTCTGGATTGAATCTCACCGGCAAACCTACATAGTACTGTACCTCATTACCATCGAAGAACAAATATATGAAAGCAATTTAAAGCTAAGGGCAAAACCTGCCTTTCTTCGGCTAAGTCACTCCCGCCTGAAGAGCTGATAAGACGCCTTCCTTGCAAAATGAAGTAGTCCTGTTACTTCCGGCCCAAATGTGTCCCTCTTCGACTCGCCTCGTTAATGGCGGCGAGCAGAAGAAACTCAAAAAGGATCCAAAACGACGACATGCCTCCATCTCGCGGGGCTCAAAACACATCGGCCGCTCGGCCGCCCATTTAATTCCCCGACAAACTGAAAAAAAAAAAAAAAAAAAGCAGCCCCGTGGCTTCTTCATCCGGCAAGCGCAACGACCGTGAAACTGTCGTTTAACCGCCTCCGCTCTTCAATTGCTTCAGACAGAAGGAAACGCTTTGGGTTCGACAATCCGGTTAAGAACGCTTGCCGCGGGTGAGGCGGGATTGGCAGCGAGGAATCTTCCTCCTGGGATCTCTTTTCGGCCTTCGGCGATCCCACGGTCTTCCTCAGGCCAACCACTTTCCCCTCCCCCCCCGCCGCCACGACTCTGGCTGCCGGTTCCCCAGCTCGAAACGCGCCCGAAGGTAGAACCGCAGCACCCGCCTCCCCTTCTTCTCACACGCCTCGGGACTCGGCGGCCAACCCCTTCTTCCTCTTGGGATACGCGGCAGCCTGGGCCTGCTACGTCGACGGACCGCCTCAAGTCAGCCCTGGCGTTTTTAGCGCTCCCTCTTCCTTACCTTCTCCGACAGTTGCTTTGCTCGGCGGAATAAGGCAAAAGGCGAGAACCGGCAGGAGCAGCGCCCAAGCCAGGGTATCCCAGAAGCAGCAGCGGCGGCGGCTGCTGTAACGGCTCATGTCGGCAAACGGTGGAGAAAACGAGACACGCACAACAGCCTCGTCCGTTCCCGGTGGCCGTTTAACGCCTCGTCTCTCGTGCGCAGTGATTTCCCTTCCCGGCCGAACTGCCCCTCCGCAATCACGTGAGGGCGGCCGTTGAACGGTCGGCGGAACGTTGAGACAAGGGCGTGGCCTCGCGTACACCTTTAGTTAAGAAACCGTTTCAACCACTCCCTCCCGTTTTATTGGGTTGGATCAGCCCCCGCCGGAAACGGCACGTTCTAGTCACGTGACCGAAGCTTCGCCCGGACCTGAAGCGCTACGGCCGCTATAGGCTGTAACGGTAGAGTCCCTTCTCTCGTAGACCTGGCGAATCGGTCGGTGAGGAAATGATGTCATAGAGAATGCTTTGCAATCGCAAACTTGCAAATGTTAATATGGTGTCGTACTGATCTTTGGGGATCGGCTTGGTATATACTATCTTCTGCCATTACACAAATATTTTTTTTTTTAAAAGCGTGAGATCAAAAGCATTTTTTAAAAAAACCTTCGACGTGCACGAGAATTGGGGTTTTTTTTTTGGGGGGGAATTTGGGACTCGCACCCCAACCTACATATAGATATGACTTTGAAGATAAATTATCAGCCAAAATGAACATAATCTCCCTCCAGACGTTGGGGCATCTTTGGTCCTGTGGCGTCTAATAAATTGGATTTTAATTCCCTGTCTTCAGTTACTCTAAAAAAAAAATCGGTATTATTGTACACAAAATGAAACAGTCTATGAGAGAAACATTGAACTTTTATCTGCCTCGAATGCCTTTTGGTTACAGAGATGATTACAAACATAAGTATGATTTATAAGCTAGCTATTTAGAGGCCTTTTCTAGATATGGTATCTAACCTCTGCTAAACAAAACATTGTTTATGCATTGCTAATTGATACATCCCTTCACTCTCCCATTTTAACAAGAACAATTAAAAACGGTAGTGGTTGAACAAGTTTTAGCAGGCTGCATTGGTGGTTTTACTGCCTGCCCTTTGCCTAAGAAGGATTGTTGTTCTACAAATAGGACATTTTCCCCTTCCCCTTTTGCATAAAAAAACCATACAAGATGAACCTTTAGTCTGAAATGATACGGATTTGGGATGTTTCTGGAGCACTTTGTCTCATGTTCGTACCTTGTAATATGTTTGTAGTGCCTTTCCTAAAATCTTAGGAGGGCAGTGGTGGGATTCAAATATGTGAACAACCGGTTCTCTGTGTGGATGCTGCTTCTGGAAGTCTGTACTGAGCCTGGGCAACATAAAATTAGCTACCGGTTCTGCCGAAGTGGTGCGAACCGACTGAATCCCACCATTGGACGAGGGGAGCAGTGAATTCAAGCACTGTTATGTAATGTGAATCTGTGAAGCCCAATTAATTCTTAACCTGTAGATTGAAATATATGGGTGATTATCCTCCAAAGGGCAGTAATTTGGTAGTGCATCACTCCTGAAACATCACTGGATGAGAATGATAACACATTCTCAGTCATCCAGGTTATGGTTGTCCCAAAGGTTTTCAAAAGACAAGTGGGCTTTCTTGGGTTTTTTCCCTTGAAACCATTTCGCTCCTCTTCCAAGAAGCTTCTTCAGTGAAAAAAAACGAAGTCCAGTTGCCTTTTGAACAACACCTTCGAGACCGATCCGTAATATTTCTACTGACTCATCATTATCACAAGTTAAAATCACATAAAACAAGGCCAAGAGCCCCTTTAAAAGTTGTCATCAAGCTGTCATGTTGATGGGAATGTATTAAATATATAGGAAGTAATAATAGTATATATTTAATTGTACTTAATTTTTAATATAAATTCTAATATTAATTTTGTTTTGGATTTACCACTCAAAACTCAAATCCAGCACTCAACTACAAAAGGTGGCAGATCACCAATGCTTAAGAATTGTTATGATGATGAAATTCTTTACCAGTCTAATCAGAAGTCCATTTGGTTTAAGTTTAGATTTGAATAAGTCAGATATACCTCATAATTCATTGTGATTCTCATAAAGATGAATAAGAAAACATGTAATTTGATAATATTAACATTGGATAATCTTTTTAGTGCTTCCTGCATAAGAAAACAATGTTATTGCATTGGCTATGAAGTGCCTGTCCATGTTAAAATAGCAAATATATATGTTTAGGTTTGGTTAAACACAACCACTTCTCTTTCAGCAATGCAGTCTGTAGAAAACCCTCTTTTTAGAATCTCAGATCAGTCTTTCACAATTTTCTTATTTACTCAGTATATTCCTCAGCTATCTTGATCTCTGTCTTACAGACTTTATAACTCAAGTTCAGATTATCAAGTATTTTGTCATAAAATCTTCAGTAGATATCCTTAAAAATCTAACATGATTTAGCAACAAACTCAGTAGTTTATTTCCCTTGAGTCAACAAACCCAAAACTTTATCCATTTTGTATTAATCTTTTTGTATTAATCTCTATTCTATACAATGTTGTATGATAACATTGTTATCATATTAATCTCTTTTTGTATTAATCTCTATCCTATACAATGTTGTATGATAACTTGCTAGGCACATAACTTATTGAGATGGAGAAAGATTGTAGTTCTGATCATCTTTGAAATATTTTAGTTTGCTTTGATGGTACATGCTTTTTCTTTTTTGTATTTTTGACCACCCAGAGTCACATTATTGGAGTTGGGACACTATATAAAGATTCTAAATAAATAACTTCCAAGTTGTGCTTTGGCTAGCAGCATTGTGGAGATCCAAAGTGAATTTGACAGTAGGGCTCTCCCAGGTGATAAAAGGGATCCTTTGTTAGTAGGATGAAAGTTTGGCTAGTAAATGATAACACAGATTTTCATGTGAGGGCAAAACTGCCTTATATCTTTCTAAAAGTATATCACCCAAAGCCCCACATTTACTTACTTAATAATTATATTCTGAATCCAGTTTGTTCTGGGCTAAAAAAACAAAAAAACAACCCACAGGCTGCACCAACCAATTTAGTATAATGATTATGGCTCCAGGCTAGAAACGGACTTCAGGAGTTCTAGTCCTACCTTAGGCACAAAGCTAGCTAATGCTTTGGGCCAGTCATTCTCTCATGGAGGGAAGGAGGGAATGGCAAACCACTTCCAAAATCTTACCAAGAAAAGTGCAGGGACTTACTAGGCCAGGGGTGTCAAACTCAATTTCATTGAGGGCCGCATCAGCATTGCGGTTGCCCTCGGGTGGACCGGGTGGGTGTGGCCAGGGTGGGTGCGGTCTACTGGATGGGCATGGATGGAGTGGATGTGGCCTATTGGGTGGTATGGCCAGCTCTACATCACATCAAGGGTGCCTGTGGGGGCCTGGGCAGGAGTGGGACAGATCTGAGGGTCTCTGGCAGAAGCGGGTAGGACCAGGGCAAGCGCCAAGGCATGGTCCATTTCTTCATTCCTCACAAAGGGTGACACTTCCCCAGCATGCACCCAGGGGGCAGGGCTGACACAGCAGGGGCTGGTTCCTCGCTGTTTCTAGACGGCCTTGTGGAGCTAAGACTGAATGTGTTTCAGCGTAGATGGCCACCACAAAATTATACATTGGCTCCCGGCTGGCCTGGGCCAAGGCCAAGGTAGCGGGGGCCATTCCCTCACTGTTTCCAGGATGGCTTCGCGGGCCACATGAAACCACTTCAAGGGCCACATCCGGCCCCCAGGCCTTGTGTTTGACATGTCTGTACTAGGCAGTCACCAAGAGTCAAGACTGACTTGAAGGCACCCACCCAGCACACACGTACACACTGCTTACAAAGGTAAGGCTGTCAGACATGGACGCTGAAACTAGTTGATCACTACAGGTAGATAGCAGAAAAAAGCTGTGGAGAACTTTCTGCTGCCATCTATAGGTTCCATGATATTTTGTAGCCCAAGTGGGGAATCAAGAGTATGATTATATGCATACAGGTAGTCCTTGCTTAGGTGCCCTAATTGCAGTTTCATCATTAATTATACCAGTCATTAAGCAAAACATTACATGATTGTCCCACACATGGCTTCTCCATTTTGGCTTTTTTTTTTTTTTTTGTAAAATAAATGATGGCATGGTGTAATGCGTCATGTGCCATTGTTCATCTGAGGCTGTATTTATCTACTTTTAAGAACTGCTAAGGACCAGATGATTTTTACTATGTCCTGATACATAAAACCATAGAATTCAAATAGGGTATACTTTCATTTTCACATGACTGTATTTTGCTTTGGAAAGAAAAAGGACAATAAGTGCTTTTATTCTTTTGTAAAAATTAAAAAATAATTTTTATTTGTCAACTTTTTTAGCTGCCACAAGTCATATGATCAGAAAAGAGCTACGCTCTACAATTAAACCAAATTAACATCTACAGTATACAGTAATCATGGCTGAAAAATGTTACAGTTAAGAATTCTACATTGTAGCACTGGCCTCTCATTGGATGTCTCTGTTAGTTCCAGTTCCCGTAGAACTTCTGAGCCCTCGATCACCTGTCTAAAGTAATAATTGAAAAAGAAACCCAAGTAAATCCTTAGAGTTTATGTCAGTTGGATTTTTTTTCAGTTGGTATTAAGCCATTGTTTAGAGTATTCTTTGTTATTTATTTGTTTATTTATTTATTTGATATCTGTGGCTATCCATCTTAAAATAGAACTTTGGGTTGCTCTTAGCAGGAATAAAACTATAAACCAGGAAAGCAAAATTAAAATGAATTAAAAAAACCTGGCACCTCAGCCATCTTCTAGGATTCCCCAATAGTCACCCACCAGATCTTATTGATCTGCCTGAGAAAACAGCCAGGTCTTGAAGCCCTTCCAGGAGGCTAAAAAGATGGTTGCCTGCCAGATTGTTGGGAGGATGGTGTTCTACAAGATTGAATAATGCAGCTACCTCACTTCAGTGAATCTTCCCACTAATATTGCTTCGAGTTCCACGATAGAAGAAAGGCAGGAGAGAAACATCAAAAAAAAATATTGTTCCCATGTTTCAGTTATAACATTTATACTTGGGATACCCAGAGTGATTTCTTACACATACCCAAAAGCCACATATTTGGTATTCAGATATGGTGCAGGTTGTAATGTGATGTAGAACTGGGATCCGTTGGTGTGACGGCCTTTGTTGACCATTCCAAGAACTCCTCTCTTATCATGGGGAACTGCAAAATTTTCATCTAAAATAATATAGTAAGCAGAATATAGGTGTGCGTGTATGGATATACCTACATATAAATATACAAATATCAAGGCTGATTGAACTGTCTTTATCCCCAGTGAATTAATTTGCCTCTGTGGGCTATTGCACAAATTAAGAAGTCTTGGTTAGTCAATCCAAAGGTCATTTTCTAATCTTTCCAGCTCTTGCAAAACAGGCGGGGAGGCTGTTGCTTCCCTTTTAATCACCGTCTTTTCCTGGTCCGTGATATAGTCAGCACCATAATACATAGTCCTACTTGTTTCTGCCTATGGTTTTACTCCCCCATTGGAGTTGGAGTGCATGTAGACATACCTTGTTCCTGCAGAGCATCTCTGGGATTTCTTGATTATGGACAGCTGAAGGAGCAGTTTACCTCTCAGGATTGAATCATCTGATTTATGGGGAGTTGGTCTGGCCCTAAACAGACCTGCTTAGGGCTAAAACCAGTTTCTCTTTATTCTCTCCCTGGCTCCTTGCAAATAAGGCTATAGTGTAAGCACAGTTCTCTATGGCCCGCTAATTTACTTTTTCCAGTGTTATATTGGCTTGTCTACTTGCTTTAGTTCATTGTAATATCTATAACGCAACCAGAAAAAAGTATTGATCATTCCCAGTTTTAGACAGAAAGCTGAGGAATACCTATTATGTACAATTCACAAATCCACCTCAAAATGGAGCTCCCCACTATTCCATACCATGACAATGAGTTGCTCTGTAGTTCCTAGGAATAGTCTATTGGTCTCCATGCTTATCAATCTCTTTTATAGCTTCACTTCTGATGATGATGATAGCCAAAAATCAAACACTTTGTGAACAATCGAGAATTTAGAATGTATGATTTCTACACTGTTTTTGAATCTCTTCAGCTCCGGTCTGACCCCTTTTATGAGGAAGTGAAAGTAGAAAGTCGGACTTCTAATACAGATGGTTGGCATTTGCATTACACTGATTAAAGTAAGAGCTTCAATGTCTCCTTCACGTTATTTTTACACTATTTCTTTCCATTCTGTTTCTCTTCGAAGATTATTTTTTACATTTATAATATAATCATTGCCTATAATATTTCTGAAGCTTGCTATTTATGTAGGACCAGCGTAGTTTAAGAAAATATTTCAACCTTCAAAGACAGGTCCATGTATCGATTCACCTCCATTTCCTCTTCCACCATTTATATCTATGTACGTTATGAAAAGAAAAAATGATACATTATCTTTTTGTATCAGAAAACAGCACAGAATTTTAAATGACATGTATAATTTTATGATTTGTAATTTTTGTCTTTAACCAAAAGAAGGGAAAATGTTAAAAAAAGACAAAGGAAAAAGCAAAAGCACAAAATTATATATAAATGAATATTTTACAGATTATCTGTGGGTGATTATAATGGTTCTTTTTTTTTACTAAAACTGTTGTCTAGAACTTTTCATACATATTTATGCTTGAGAAGCCCTTATATATTTCATGATATTGGGAAGAGTGCTATATTAGTTTAATGGTTATTATTAATAGATCTTGGGAACTAATAATATTACAGTTGTTGCTGAAATACGGTACATCTCTTAACATCCAGGATTGATCATGTTTGCTTGGGTTCCTGGGAAACATAATTCAGCAGCAGTCAGAGGACCACAAGTGCCCATATTTTGTTGTAACAGAAACCATAATACATCTATATATTCTAGGTTTAGGCTTGGTTCCATTTGAATAAAAGGCTTCCATCCAAATAAATGTATATAAATTTAAATTTTGGTAAAAATTCTTCCATATTTTATTTTTCTCCCATGCTTTTTTTATTTACAGACATATGAACAGTGGTGGGATTCAGCCGGTTTGCACCAGTTCGGCAGAACTGGTAGCTAATTTTTTGTTGCCCACCCAGGCCCAGAATGGACTTCCGGAAGCAGCATCCACACAGAGACCCGGTTGTTCACAAATTTAAATCCCACCACTGCATATGATTATCTAAAAGTATAATTCTTATCTAAAGGTTTGGTTTTATTCTGGTGATGGGAAGGAAGAACAGTCTCACATGCTGGAGAATATACCAATCATGAGCCATACTTCACTCTATGAGCAGATTTCAATACCTACCTCCTCCTTGTATCCAGCCATTTTTTACAATTCGATGAAAAATTGAATCCTTATAAGTGAGTGCCAATCCAGACTCAGAGTACCCTTTCTCTCCTGTACATAAACACTTGAAATTATGGCATGTTCTGGGGCAAATGTCAGAATAGAGCTGGACAATAGAAGAAGAATACGGAACATTTCAGAAGCTCAGTTCCTGAGGTCAGTGGGAAAAGAAACATTACATTAATTTATGAGATGAAAGGAATCACAATTAATTTTGTATATTCCAGGTATTTTATCAATCTAAAGATTGTGACATCTTTTAAAAATGGGTGTTTTATCCTCATGAGAAAAGACAATGCATTTTAAAATAGGAACAAAGAATCATGACTCAGAGATTGAGTTCTTGAGCATGCCCTCCTACTGTTATCTGTTCTATTATTTTATGGTGACTTAGAAATTAGTGATCTGTCTCAGTCCAACTGTTCACTATCATTTCACCCATCTCAGCCTATCAATAAAGCAACAAAACTAACAGCCTCTCTTTTGGAACATCTGGCAATGTTTAAATTAAGTTTCAGGAGGCAATTAAACTCCTTTTCTTCTAAAGAGCTTTTAGTTTAGGTTTTAAGAAAGGGAATGGACAGATTTATTTTCTATGGTGTTATATGATAACTTACTGATTTTAATGTTTGCATGTTGTGTAAGAGCATATCACTTGGGATATTCACAAGGACACAATGCAGAAATAGACATACACACACACAGAGAGAGAGAGAGAGAGAGAGGGAGAGAGAGAGAGAGAGAGAGAACTGCTTGATTGGAAAACTCTTGGTACAATGTTAAACATGTTTAGAGAGAAGCAAAAACGTTTGAGGAAAGTGGGCAGCAAGAGTCTATTGGATTGCAGCTTTAATAAATCCTTTAAGTTTTAAACATTTAATTCATCAAATAAGCATAAGCTTGCTTTTGAAAAAAATCTAAATCAAAATATATTTGTTTTTGTGTTCTGAGGAGGCATTGCATCAACTTTAAAAGTCATTCCTTTCTCCTTGTTACACATACCGTATTTTCCGGCATATAAGATGACTTTCTAAAGCATGTAAATCGGCTCCGAAGTCGGGGGTCGTCTTATACACCGAGTCGTCTTATACACTGGAAATTACGGTAGTTTCCAGCGTATAAGATGACTTTCTAGGCATGCAAACTGGCACCGAAGTCAGGGGTCGTCTTATACGCCGAGTCATCCTATATGCCGGAAAATACGGTATGCCTATGCATACATATACAAGGGACTTTACCTTCTAAGGCAGTGCTTCTCAACGTTTGTGTGACGGCGACCCCCGTCAGGTGCATGTGCACGGCGCCGCCCCCACGCGCGACGCGCGTGCGTGGCACCACCCCCGTGTGAGGCGCGCATGCGCGCCACCGCGAAAAATGGCGGATCGCCACCTTTGGCGACCCCCGAAAAATGGTCGATCGACCCCAAATGGGGTCGCGACCCATAGGTTGAGAACCACTGTTCTAAGGTGACACTTTCCATATGAAATTTTTAAGCACTTATTTAAAAATTGAGTTCATAAAATGTACTTTACAGCCATTAATGGTCGTAAGTACATATTTTAAAATAAAACTGACTGATCAAACCAATATTTGAAAAAGGTGAACTCTTATACTTAGGCTCAAGAGAGCCTAAAACAAAAGAGGCCAAACTATTGCATTGTCACTCAAATAATTCTGATGAGCAGTCATTCTCCAACTTCTATCCATGTTCCAATGCGTAGTTGATCTCACATCAGGAAGTGGACCTTAATTGTTTAAGTAACAGTTTTAAACATAAGTGTATTTGCTTCTATGTACATGATAAAAACAAGGAGTGGTTGTCTTTTCCTTGGGCAACTTACCTCAAAGAGCAATTTTCCAATCGAAACTTCCTGAATTGCTATTTCCATGAAAACAAACATATGCTGCCAAGATAAAGAAACCAAACCCTGTGGTTAAAGTAAAGCCATGTGAGTGAATCACTGGATAAAGATTGCTCCCTTCTAACTCTGAGTCATGCTTCAGAAGGTAAAGGGTCAAATTCCAGTAAGTAGTTATTTCATCAGCATTTTCCTGATCCTATGGCTTGTCAATATTTTACGGTTAGGAGATTTGATCAGTAATCATCAACTAATCTTTCAAAGAACTCAGACATTATGTGGATGAATCTGGAAATATTCCAGGGTACATGTTAATAGCAGAGGCTCAAGGTCTTAAATAAAATGTGAACTGAGAATATACAGAACAATCCAATGTATCTGTGAAATTTAAGCAAGGAGTAGACATTTACATTGGGCAGGCAAACTGTGTTTTAAGGGTTGAATTAATTCCTGATCATCCCCAAGTTTTCCATTTCTTCACTGTTACTGGGAAGGGTGTGTCAAAGCTTCATAAGGGTTCTATGAAGGTCTACATTAAACTCAGTGAAGTAAATGGATAACTTTGGATAGTGAGGTAGGTGACGTATAAATTTAGTAATAAATAAATAAACATAAAAATGAATGGAACGAAAGTCACCACATAAACCAGGATATTGAAAGCACGTCTGTCAAGGGACAGCTTGGTCTGCACATGCCACAGTTGGAACTATCTGAAGGCAACAGCATTGTTTTTTAAAAAGTATGTATTAATGCAAATGAGAGAAAATGATACTGAAAATATGGGTGTTTTTTTTAAAAGAAACCCTCCTTTTTGAATGATTAGAGAATGAAATTATTTCCAGCTTCGTTATAGCACTTCTATTTTAGCAGGCATTAAGCCTGAGATCAAAACAGTTTTTACAAGACAATTTGTGAACTTTCACAGTGAGTGATCTCCTGTGTTCCACAATGCATTCTTGACATGGTAGGAGCAGAGGTTTTTCGTGAGCTTTCTGTCTGAGCTTTTGGGATCATTTGGTCCCCAAAATGGACTGAGAATGTAGTCCATTCAACAAGCTTCTTATTGTAAAAGGGCCAAACATTTATTTTCCATTCCAGAGCTGAGCTGCACCAAAATTACCATAGCATGTACACATTGTCAGTTTTTGCATCAGACTCAGCAGAAACTCACAGCGTTCCCGACATTTCACCTTATTAAGCACTTGGCTTGAGTTGGCAGAAAGCTCTCAGATGTAACATGGCTATATTAGAATCTTTATGGCAGTTAAGAGTGAAGCCCTAAACTAAATTGTTTGTTAACTCATACCCATGCAAAGAATTCACAGCCTTCAGATATAGCTATGCTACAGCTTGTAGGCTTTTTCTTCTGCTTGTCTGAATTCATGATATTGACCAGACTCATGATGGCCTTGAGAGACAGCTGAAAGATGTTCATGGGAAGGTTGATATTTGCCTTGGAATTGCTGGTTCCTGCCAAGTTCAGCCCTTACAAGCATTCAGACCTTGCTCTGGACCTTGGCTGCTTGCTTTTAATCACTTACTCTCTCACTGACAATCCCCACTTTTTTCAGCTGGCATGTTGCATATTTTCTAAAAAATACAATGGAAAACTAAGTAACAAGTAAGTGATATTGCCTTGAGCAGAGGTCTTCAAAATCCTTAGCCAGGCATGCTGGCTGAGGAATTCTGGGAGTTGAAGTCTACAAGTCATAAAAGGGCCAAGTTTGAAGACCCATGGCCTTGAGTCATGCAGCCAGTGATGGCCCTGGAGTTACAAGCTGGCTTATCATGGCTCCAACATCACTGACAATGATATATAGTATGACCTCCCACACAGAAGAGTTCAATATTTCAATTTAAAAAGGATGCTGCTATATCCTTGCTTGGCTTGGAAATGTCAGTAGCAATCTATTTTAGTCTATTTGTGAGGATTGTTTGGACTTTCCTGGAGGGTGGGATTTTGGACAGCCATAAATCGTCAGAAAATATTATTGGTGTTTACCTATAAAGCATGATTTTAAGGTTAGTGATTATCAAGGTTTATGTGACTTAAGTACCACAGAAATGATGGTTACAGCCACCACCCCCCCAATGGGAGAAAATTTATGAGTTGAAATTGTGTTGATCATTCTTAATTTTCTAAAGACTTTTCTGAGCCAACTTTATAAAATTAAACAAATGAATTACATTGGATTTTATATAAACTCCAAATATCGTATACTCATCAGTGAGACTTTTAAAAAAATGTCACCTTTTTGGCTTTTAAGTATTTTGTGAGGAAATCTGATGTAATTGCTTCATAAAGTGCTATGGGCTTAAAGTCTTTATAATCCCAGACATCATAAGCCCACTTCAGCAACATTTTTTCATCTCCAAGAAGCTGGTTGTCAACAAAACACATCACATTGGATGGATATTCCCATGTTTCACCCCTCAGTTCCTGTGATCAGAAAACAAAATAGCAATGTTAAGGATTAAAACATATATTATAGAAGATCACTAAACATTTTACATTGGTGATAAAATTAAGAATAGATCTGAAAAGGTAATGATGAGTTTTTGCTAAAAGATTCAAGTTTGGAAGCATTACATAAGTTGATCAGGATTTCCTATTTATTACTGAATTTCTAACCCATCTTTCTGCTTCTTCAATTGTAGAGTCACTGGTTGTATTCATGCATCATATTATTAGGCCCATTGTGGCTCATTTTATTGTGGAATTCCAGCTTACAACTAAGCACAGAATAAGGCTTTTGTCAATTGTGGTTTATTCAACAAACCATAATTTAGTTTAATATGCTATACAGTCAGACCTCAAACAAACCACTTCTCCTTAATTTAGACTAATTTGATCTGAAAGTCACACAATCAGAAATTAGCCACCTACGCTTAAGTCTACCATGTTGTACAAACTAACCAGTATAATTACTTTGCAGTTCAGTGTGGTATGCAAACTTGGAAAATTAGAATAATAAAACTATTTAGTTAACTATAGATAAGTATATTGTATAAATATAGCCAGAAATTAAAATATACCTTCTTTTTTTCTTGTAGATATTCATCCCATGCAAACTGCAATAAAGGAAGTACTTTAGGCTCACCTATCTTGGTAGGGAAGTTTCTCCTAAGGGTCTAAATATGCAAGACAAAAGTTTTAAACAGTGAGCCATGTTTTATATTTCATAATGGTGCTCCTAAAGTATTCATAACCATTATAACCAGTGGTGGGATTCAAATATGTGAACAACTGGTTCTCTATGTGGATGCAGCTTCTGGAAGTCCATTCTGGGTCTGGGCAACAAAAAATTAGCTATCAGTTCTGCCGAAGGGGTACAAACCGGCTGAATCCCACCATTGATTATAACCATATAGCAGATCATATAGGTTACTTAACTAACAATGTTTTTGGATCACTTATAAGAGAAGAATTTATACAATTCTACTTCCTGGCATATCTCAAGCAAAAGTTTTATTATGATAATGGTAAGATGTCAATTTTGTCAACATTTATTATACAAGAGTAAAATGGCTAAAACAACTTAAGCAATGGAGAGATAGCAGTGTGATTTGCCCATCAAACTGAACGGTCCTAGCATTCCTTAATTAGCTTCCACCCCTCCCTACAATATATTTCATTGTACCTCATAATCCCATAATCTAGGAGGTCTGTGCAATGGACTGACAGATAATTATGATGTAGCATCAGAACTACATATCCAAATGAAGGTCAATATCCTTTAACAAAAACATCTACTCTTGAGAGATATTGATAAATGTCAAATTTTAGTTACTCCCCTTTGGATTAGCCATTTTATTCAGAGTAGCTCTTCCCCTCCCTACTTCCTTTTCTTTGTAGCCCTGCCAACTCTTTGAAGCGGATGAGAGGCTACAGGATGGATGCCTTCTCTACATTCATGAACAAGGGATTACTTCATTGGGTTTAATTGGTTAACACCCTTTTAGTCTATCCATCTAATTAATCCATAGTTGTTCATAATAATGTGTGAGTAGACATGAAGTGGCCTTGGAGAAGCAGCCTTCATGTAGATAGTTGCTTGATCTCAGTAGATATTCTTAGTAGAGTACTTTTTTTGCAGTCATAATTCCCTCCTAGAGTGACATTCTCCATATAGCTACATCTGCAGAGATTTTCAGCAACTGAACTAAATATTTTAAAAAAAAAAACGTCAAGCTGGGGGCAGTTTTTCTACAGCGTGAAGGAAATGACAGTTTTATTTCTACCTAACTGAAGGAAATTTATTTTATTTTATTTTATAAGTTCATTAGCTGCTACAGAAGGCAAGAGGAACATAGGAATAGACAATTTGCCAGGGGAATTATTTTTTTCAGGTTACAGAAGCCTACCTTATAACTGCATACTGAGAGCATAGAACACAGAATCATAGGGCTGGAAGGGGCCTCAGAGATCTTCTAGTCCAACCTCCTGTTCAAGGCAGGAGACCTTATACCAGCGGTTCTCAACCTGTGAGTCGGAACCCCATTTGGGGTCGAACGACCATTTCACGGGGGTCACCAAACAATGCAGTCCACCATTTTTTTCCCCTTTTCCTTAGCTGTGCTACTCCTTTTTATTCTATTGGCTTTTGAAAGCCAATAGAATAGACTCTCTTGAATAGAGTCTAATTCTATTGGCTTTCAAAAGCCAATAGGAATTGTCTCTGCCCTGCTGAGCCCGCCAAAGGCCCCAGTCTGCAAACGGTGCTGCAAGTTGTCTGCAGCAAAGGCGAGTTGTCTGGAAGCTTCCACCCCTCTCTCCTGAACAACTACTAAAAATGTAAGTAAAAGAGGCCCAGGGGTGGGAGGTGGGAGGCCGTCGGGCGCAGGGAGGGTTGCTGGCATGCGTGGAGCCCGGCGGGTGCCTTACCTCCCTTGGGCTGGGCCAGCTGGTGGCCCAGCCGGTGGTCGGCCTGCGCCATCTCTGCCGCTTGCCAGCTACGCCTCGGCCGGCACAGAGGGCAGCACCATGCATGCACGGCGCTCCCGGGCAGGGAAATTCCTCGACTTACGACTGGTTGGGGATCGCAGCATTAAAAAGGTTGAGAACCACTGCCTTATACCATCCCAGTCAAATGGTTGTCCAGCCTCTTCTTAAAAATCTCCAGTGATGGAGCACCCACAACTCTGGGAGGTAAGCTATTCCATTGATTCCTGACAGTGAGGACAATTAACCAGTGGAACAGCTTGTTTTCAGAAATCGTAGGCACTCCATCACTGGAGATTTTTAAGAAGAGGCTAGACAGTCTCATTTGTCTGAGATGGTATAGGTTTTCCTGCTTGAGCAGGGGGCTGGACTAGAAGACCTCCAAGGTCCCTTCCAGCTCTATTCTATTCATTAATTGTTCTCACTGTCAGAAAATTTCTCCTTACTTCTAGGTTGGATCCCACTTTAACAAGCTTCCACTCATTACTTCTTAAAATACGTTTAAATCGTGAGCTCAACTGACAATTCTGTTCTGGAAGAATCTACCGTTCATTGAGCCTTTGCAATATCATGTTTGCAGTTTGAAGAGCTCAGGGGCAGCATTATCAACATAAAGAGCCATAAGGAAAAGAGAAGCAGTTCACAAAGAAGTGAGCAGTGAATCTGCAACAAGGATCTGGGTCCTGGGAATTACCTCCACTGCATGCACCGCCATGTGAAAGGAAGGCTCTGTGAGCAGGCCCACCACCTCCACTTCTTGGAGCTTTATGGACTGAATACATGGGTTTTTCGGCCACATTGCCCACAAAGTTTTCTCTCTTCTCTTTGCTTTTCAGCTGCCCCACTTCTTCTCAGACAACAGCAGGAGAAAAATCAACAAGTTCCCTCACCATAGCAACTCCAATCAGATGCTACCATTCTCTCCAGCTGGGAGTTCTGCCAGCCAGTGACTGATTCTCAACAGACTTTCCTTTTGTCTAATGCAACATGAAACCCAACCGGTCAATTTGGAGGTATGTTTAAATCTGATACTAGCTGATATTATCAACCCAGAATGTTGATTTTTCCAATGAAATATTGTAATGAGACAGTGGTGTGTTTGCTCGCTAAACACGCTGAGCTGTGATACCCACTGAGCAGAAACCAGGATACTTCTTGTACTTTTCTTGCGTATAGATTCATATGTTTGAGGCAATTATTTAGATAGTACATATTGATTAGTGGTGCCCTGTAGAATTAATTTACACAGATGATAATGACATCTGATTAAAATCTCGATAATAACATAAAGTGCTTTTGGATTGGTGGTGGGCTTTGCCACCAATTTCTTTGTTCTCCATTTAGTACAGTTAAACAGATTGATTCTTGCCATATTTAAGCTCCACTGATAGAATCAGCACATAAAGTAATGTCACATGCATAAGAACAGAGCTTAAAGTTAATAATTGAGCAAACATGATACATTTAATATAAGTAATGACATTACATGTCCTAATTAGATCAGTCATTGACTGCATGTGATAACAAAATGACGCATTTCTTTATGAGTTTATTTTGACCTGACAAGCAGTCCTTACAGTCTGGGATCATGAAATACTAGAATACAGGCACTTTTTCATAGCTCCAGCAGCGACTGCTACATTTAAGTAAGGAACTACTATTAGGAAAGACTCAGGGGCCTCAGCCACCTCTCCAGTGTAGCATAAACAAGAACAAAATACCATACATTCTCACAGATAAAATGAATCACATTTTTCATGATGTTTTTGGTGGTCTGCTTATCTGCAGATGTTTATCAGTGGGTGTATATGGAAAATATGGGTTAATTTTTAATTTTAAATACTTTTAAAAATATTACTTATATACTTGCAGATAAGCCAAATCCGATTTTTAAGGTGCATTTCGGTGCCTCAAGTTCTCAGTTTATCTGCAAGTACATACAGGTAATCCTCAACTTACAACCACAACTGAGCCCAAAATTTCTGTTGCTGGGTGATACATTTGTTAAGTGAGTTTTGCCCCATTTTACAACCTTTCTTGCCACAGTTGTTCAGTGAATCACTGCAGTTGTTAAATTAGTAACACGGTTGATAAGTGAAACTGGTTCCCTATTGATCTCGCTTGTCAGGTCACAAACAGTGATCACATGACACCAGGATGCCGCAACCATGAAGTCAGTTGCCAAGCATCTGAATTTTGATCATGTGACCATGAGGATGCTGCAAGTTGTGTGAAAAACAGTCACTTTTTTTACTGCCATTGTAACTTTAGTCACTAAATGAATTGTGGTAAACCAAGGACTACCTGTACAGTAATGAAACTGGAATATTTTCCAGTGTGGACTGACAACTGTTTGCCATTTATATTTACTTCTACTGCAGCTTTTCAGATACTATCACCTTGTGATCTTGAAATATGGTTGGCCCACAGACAGATATTCTGCAATCTGTTTCAAGATTTGCCCTCTTTTTTTTCTTGTTATTCTCATTCACTTTAGACTGTATATTAAAAAAAAAATCTCATCACCAGTTAAGGAGTATCTATCATGTGGGTCTTAATGAAATTGTGTAGAAGCTTTTCTGTTTTGTCATGTTGTTTTACCTAATAATGTTCAATTCCTTAAGAATCCTAATGAGAGCCCTTTCATTCCTGTGAAATTTGCAGACACCTTGTTGACAGCCAGACAAATTCTAAGGGAGAAATTGGTAAAAAGGGACCCAGAGGTAAACACTTGAACAGTTGTGCTATACTGAAAAGATACACAAAAGTACTGTATTCCCAAGTAAAACATGATATTCTAATATAATGTTTACAATTCAGGACATCAATTTTGCTTTTATTTAGAGTTGTAGGTAACTCCAAAAAGCCAACCTGGTTCCTGCTGTAAGGAATGGGGAGGCAAACTCCTACGGGTAGTTTACATTTACTGACAGGGGCTTAGCCATTGCTCAGTGTTGGTTGACATTCAGGTTAATGGAGGCATAGTTTGGGAACACATAGGCCCGGTTAATTATTCAAGCTGTCTTTTTCTGCTAGTTAATGTTATTCTTTAAAAAATAAACAAAGACAGAAGCTGGAAACTGAGCTGAGAATAGAAATGTGGTTCATTCTCCCCAGCAGCCTCAAATAATTGATTGAAATGCAAAAGGATCTGAAAATGAAATGCAGGAATAATTGAGATAGAAACATGTCTCAGGAAGTCATCTTGTGGTATGGCAAGAGCCTGATATTTAAATGTGCCTACCTTTCCTGAAAAGTAGAAAAATAAGGGGGCTGGGAATGATTTTGGAAGGCTGCAGGAGGTCCTAGAAGGCATCCTGAAAAGTCTGTCTTTGTTAATAGGGTATTTGTGACTGGCTGCCATTTTGTGAGAGCATCTAAATAGAATCTCAAATTATCATTTGGGCAAATGGGGAAATAGTTGAAATATATTTTTATATTTGCACACATGATTACTGCAATTATATTGTAACTTTATATATTTTTCTTAAAACAATTGGATAGAATTTGTTCATCTTTATAAGGCAGAAGCATGTTTGACCTGTAAAGAACACATTTCTGACAAAAAAAGAAGTTTGTAACACAGAGATAAATCATGGAGGAAAAATGTTTTCCAGAAGAATTAATATATGCATTGTTTATTTTAAAAGCACTTTAGAAAGATCTTACACAAAGAAGCATTATATTTTAAAATTTAAATGTTTAACTGAGGCCACAATTTAATCATTTAGAGCAGAATTATTTCCCAGTTATACATCTTTTGCCATTTCCCCCTTCTGATATTTTTTTTTCTCATACAAACCTTCATAATTAATTATCTTCACAAAATCATTCAGTTGGTCTTAAGACACTGAACTCTTTAAAATAACAGATTTGTAAAAATCTCGATCAGCTTAACTGAGGGAAGAATGGGTACCGTCTCTCTCATGTCCAAACTCTTAGCACCTTCATTTCATCCTGTTCTGCATTACACCAAAGGTTACCACCAGGATGCTGAAGTAATCTGCAAGTTTTCATTGCCAACCAATGTTCAACCAATGAAGCTTTCCTATATTCAGAATCCATATTGTACAGTTTAGGAAGTACAAGGAAAGGAAGAATGGAATGCAATTCCTTAAAGCAGTGGTTCTCAACGTTTGTGTGACGGCGACCCCCGTCACACAAATGTTCTGCGCATGCGCGGTGCGCATGCGTGACAGCACCCCCATGCACGGCGCACATGCGCGATGACACGCATGCGCGGCGGTGACCCCATGTGCGGCACGCATGCGCGGCGGCGCCCCCATGCGTGGCACACATGCGTGGCAAAGCCCCCATGCGCGGCATGCATGCGCGGCAACGCCCCCTGAGGGGGGAAAAAGGCGGATTGCCTTCTTTGGCGACCCCCGAAAAATGGTCGATCGACCCCAAATGGGGTCGCGACCATAGGTTGAGAACCGCTGCCTTAAAGAGAAAAGTATGCTCAGAGGGTACATGCCTTCCTATTTCTAGAATATTTCAGGCCTAATAATTTTGGTCAATGGTTTATCGGCCCAAGCATAAAGCCTTTATGCTCTATCCTCCAGTTTGATTCCAGCTTAAAAACTAGAGCTACTGTTAGCATATAAAGCAAACGTTCTTGTAGTTATAATGGGAAACATTCATTTGTTTTTATTTTAGTACAGCAACGTCTATACTGCTTATGCACCAGAATATAAAAAGTATAAGAGAAAGGAGAAATCACAATGCCTGTGTTTGCTCTGATAAGCCAATACCAGGATTGATTTGTGCCAGTTAAGCCTAGAGAAGTCGAGCATTGAACTGACGTGTATACATTAAAACAAGCTAATGAAAGCATAACCAAAACAAGGCAATTGTTTGGTAAGCCTGTTATCATTACTTAGGAGAGGTTATGCCCATCTGTTTGGAAATGCAGCTTTATTTTTTCTGTCTTTTGAAATTATATATTTACTTTTTCAAAAAGTTGCAAAAATTCCTCTTATTTTATACATGCATATTAAAATCTTCTCATAAAACCGATTCTCACAAAGTCTTAATTGACACAAACTGACTGATCCATTTTTTTAAAAAATCCAAACATAGGTTTGCTTTAGCCCAAACTAATGAGCATATAGGAGGAAAAAATTATATATATATCTCAGTTGATAGGCTTGTTAAATATATACAGTATAAGTCTAGTCAAAGGCAATTTTACATCCCATCATTGTCAGTGGAAAAATTAAGCATGCATTGTTCTTTCTCACTGAAATAACTGAGATGGCAAAATGCATAAGTAGGCTTGTACCATGTTCTTTTAATATTTTATTGCAGTTCAGGCAAAATGCATAGAACACTGGTTAAAAAGCCATTCTTTCAGCATATATCTAAATTGATAAATCTGCAAAATAAAAATGCATAAACCCATTGCTGTTAAGCCAACAGCCAACATTACCAGCATGTGAAATTAAATAGAGAATACTGTATATATAATGCATTTCACATGAAGGATCTTATTTCATCTTGATAAATAAATATATCTAAGAAGGAAATCAGCTTGTATTTTAAAAAGTCTGCCCCTCGGGATGATGATCTCCAGATGGCTGGTTTACAGATAGAGGCTGCTGAGGTGAATTGGAGATATGTACAGTTTGAGTCTGTCCCTTGCTAATTTGAGGAGGTAGAATTGTATCTTGGTTAATGCGAAACTGTTGGCTAGGTTCTTGGGCCATCTGTAGATGCGGGGTTGGATGCGGTGTTCCTGCAGCTATTTGAAGCACATCTGCTTGACTCTGATTGGCATGGAGATGTTCCAGAGCTTCTTTGGACAATGTGATGACATGCATTTGTTCAGTCTGCGGAGAATCCATTGGGTCATTCACAATGCTGATATTCTGAATCTGCTCTGTGGGTTCTGTTTGGCCTGAAAGAAGCAGGTTCTGCAGCTGCTGTGAGGGCTGAGTGAGAAGAGTAAGGCTGCCTGTGTGCTCTGCCATCACATTTTGGGAATCATCTGAAGTGACAACGCTAATGCCTTGATTATGGCTGGGCATAAAGTTTATGTTGTGCACCGAATCTGTCACCAACAGCTGGATCTCTTCGGGTCCAGAGGTAGAAAGTTGATACTGCTGCAGCTGAAGAATGTTCCTGACGTCCTCTATACTGCTACTGTTGGATGCAGTGTTGGCTTCCTGTAGCTGTTTCTCTTTGACATGAATTTTCAAATGAGATTTCAAGTTGTCTAAACGGGCAAACTGCACACAACACTCTGAACAAGAGAAAGGTTTTTTGCCAGTATGCAAGATGCAGTGTCTCCTTTTGGCGCTGGAATCAGAAAAGGATTTTCCACAAATACTACACGAATAGGGCTTCTCTCCTCTGAAAGAGAAGACATTTGGTTTGATCATATGGGCTAATATTTTTGAAGCATGGATGTTATTAAACCCCCCCAAACATTACTCAAATATCACTGCATTAAAACTGAATGCCAGATGGATTCTCTCTTTCTCCTTTCCTACGAAGTACATCAACTACTCAAGTAAGTGATATGTAAGTCAATGGAAGCCACCTCACTTTCTTATCAGACAGTACAAATCATCATTGTATGACAGAACGAAACGCTCTGAAATCCTGTTGCTGCTCATGATCCCTCTGCATGGTTGGCATCTAGATTACCAATCTCAAAAACTATTGGGTAGGAACGCAGATGAATGGCGAGTCATTTTATCCAACTGGGCATATCTAAACCTGTTGCACCCTTGACATTTATACTATAGTAGCTATGTTTGTTTCTAATCATGTTCCAATTGGTTATTCCAAAGAATAACAGTAAACAAACAATTAGAAGGATCCTCAATCATATGTTGAGGCAGTAGGTGAATAAGCCTGCCATTAAGATGACATAGCAATACTATTCTTTTGTATCCATTTGGGGGGTATGTATTTGATTTACATTGGTGCAGCTGAGGTAATAAGTGACAAGATAGAGAAAAATTCCACACAGTCATAATATTTCTCCAACTCTATCTCTTTACTGTTGAGCTTTTGAAGACTTACAGCAGGGGTCTTCAAACTTGGCCCTTTTATGACTTGTGGACTTCAACTCCCAGGATTCCGGAATTCTGCAAGTTGAAGTCCACAAGTCATAAAAGGGCCAAGTTTGAAGACCCCTGACTTACAGGATTGTCATCTTTCTCTACTTTTAAAACAGATGATGATCTGCAGATGCCCCATAAAAAACAATTTTCAAAGTTTTTTTAAAGACTACTAATATGCATACTCTCATACTCTCAATTTGTAATGCCAAGCTTTTTACCAAAACTTTCAAGAAAATAAATTAAACTGTATGCCTTGCTTCACCTATAATGAAAAATGAGAAAATACTGAGATAAAAAACCAGAATTCATTTAAAGCAGGACTCAATATAATAGATAATATATACCGTAAATGCCGGCGTATAAGGCGACTTCCGCGAGCGCTGAAATCAGCGCCAAAGACGGGGGTCGTCTTATACGCCGAGTCGTCTTATACGCCGGAAATACTGGTAGTTTCCAGCGTATAAGACGACGTTCTAGGAGTGCGGCCCGGCGATAAAGACGGGGGTCGTCTTATACGCCGGGTCGCCTTGTACGCCGGCATTTACGGTATTCAATAATGTGACAGTGCTCATTAGCTTTGGGCTAAAGACTAAGTACAATGTGCCCCAGTGATTAAACATAATTTAAATATTCGTAATGGTGTAGATCAAGCATGACCGGCCCACAGGCCACATGCAGCCTTGGGCAGGTAGTAATGTGGCCCAGCTAGATTGTAAATTTTTAACATCATGTGATTTTTCTATTATAAAACTATGTTATATATTTTATATGAGGCTCAAGACAATTTCTCTTCACTCAATGCGGTCCAGGCAAGCCAAAAGGTTGTATACCCATGGTACAGAAAATTAAAATTGTTAGCATACAACATAATGTGAACTGAATTTACAAATCATGATCTGTAATTGCAGAAGATAATAAAACTGTATTAATAGTCTCACTCAAAATATTTCCTACAAACTGATTTCCAAATAAACCACAAAGAAAAAGGAGATACCTGTGAATTCTGATATGTGTCTGAAGAGAACTTTTTGCTGTAAATGACTTGCCACAGATTTCACAAGTGAACGGCTTTTCACCTATAAAAACTTGCTTGGTTAGTATGTATGTAATTATCTCTTAAAGAACAATTAAGAGAGTTTGACTTATAAGTACATTCTAATGAATATAACAACCAAATCTCATGCTAATTCGTAGCTATTAGGATAAATACATAATTAATAGAGAGATGAACATACAAAAAAATACTGAGAAAAATTTGGAGGAAAATGCTTTTCTCTTCAGTCTTCTTTAAATGCCCTCAACCGTAAAAAAATAGGGGGAAAAGATTATAAAATATTTTCTCATATTTGAGAAAATGGAAAATATTGATTTTATTTCCTTTTAATAATCTGCTCATGGTTTTCAGCCATAATCATCTTCCTTCTGTCATAAAAAGCAGAGTTCTATTTCCTACAGAAAAAATTCCATAGCCAAAAATTCTCTAACAGTAGTAGCAGTTTGACAGTTGAAACCAATTATTCAAATGTGATGAGTTGGCCTTCACTGAAGGTACTGAATCATCTATTAGGGAAGCTTCAATTTAGATTCCTGGGCTGAATGGTGGACTGAAATCAGCATTAGAACTCCTATACTGGGCTGCAAAACTCCAGGACTGCCTGATATAGCAGCTATAGTCAATGACCTTAATAGCTCCATACCAATTTTGTTACTGTCAACTTAGCATAGTATAGATTCAGCACCACACAGATTCATTGTTAAAGATTAGAATCCATTATAAGCTCATTTATCCTCTACAGATGCATGCGACTTACTTGAATGTTCCTACCTAAACTATATATGCTGACATCTTTTTTTCAGAAAAGAATAGAAAGCAGCATTACCTGTATGTGTTCTTAAATGTTTCTTTAATTGAGCTGTATCCATGAATTTACGATGACAGAGGACACATTCTGGCAATGACTGGCCTGATTATGGTAAAATGAAAAATACATTATTATATTTCCCAAGTGTGTCTATTTCATTTATAATTTCTATCTCAACATGTAGGTAGCTAATAATAATAAAAGCATGACATTTACAATTCTAATACAACTGAAACCAAAGTAATGCCACAAGTGAGGGACACATTTTAAA